GGGCATGTTGCCAGGAGGGACCAGTCCTTGGAGAGGGACATCACACTTAGGAGGGTGGAGGGAGAGTGCAGAGAGGAAGACCATCGATGAGATAGATTGACTCAGTAACTGGGGTTATGGGGGTGAGTGTGTCAGAAACAAGGCTGGCTCGGGGCAGAGCAGGACTCAGAGCTGGTGTCCATAGCATCACTATGAGTCACAAGCGACTCAACAGCACATAACAACGGGTTTTCTTAACTGAGATCTTTATAGGAACAGACTGACAGGTCGTTTTGCTTGCAAAGCCACTAGGAGATTTGAACCATCCACCTTGCCATTAGCAGCCAAGCACTCAGCCTTTGCAACATCAGCACTTCTTTCTCAACACACTCGGAAGGATCTCATTGCCACCCAGTCAGAAGCTACTTCTAGAGGGTTCTCAGAGGCTGTAAATCCCATAGGAGACTGCTCATCTATCTTCAAAGGAGCCACTGGTGGATTCGAACTACCAGCGAGGCACTGTGTTTGGTTTAGCGGAACAACTCTCTAGAGACGACACCACCGGGCTCCTTCCCCAACACACTCCCTGTCTCCAAATTGGCACCCAACATTTCATTATTCCAGCTTGATCATTAGTATATACTAGTTTTGCTGTCTCGTGTGCTTGGAAATAACCTCCTGATGAATATCTGAAAAAGTACGCCCATGTTTGCATACCAGTGAGTGAGCAATTGGAAACGTCCTGAACATTATGGGGGACTTGCCAGAGAGATCAAAGCAGTGGAATTGTTGTTGGTATTGTTGGAGGCAGAGATTCTGAAGCTCCAGCTGACATAGTTTGGGCATGTTGCCAGGAGGGACCAGACCAGCCCTTGGAGAGGAACACAAATCAAGTAGATGCTTTGGTTAGTGAATCTAGACCTCATAACAGCACACAATAAAAGTTATTCTTTTGGATACTGGGGAGTTCTGGTGGCCTAGAGGTTAAGGAGTTAGGCTGTCAACCCAAAGGCAGGCAGTTCAAATACTCCAGCTGCTCCCGGGAAGGAACATGAGTAACCTCCTCCTGCATGATTTACATCCTCCAAAAACCCACTGGAGGGTCAGCTGTGAGTCAGTTCAGATGCCACAGCCATGAGCCGAGTTGACGGCAAGTGAGCTGAGTTGTTCAGGCTACTGGACATTGTAGGAAGAGTTAGTAGAGACTAGTTAGCCTCTCCGAGGAGTCCTAGGAATCTGAAGACACCCTGGTTTCTAGTTACCGGATAACTCATCACTGATGTCTCCTGAGTTGCCCCCGCCGACTCTGGTTTGGTTAATTAAGTGGCTCCATTTCTTTGCCGTCTTCCCACTGTGTCCACCTGCCCTCCTCTCGCATCTTCTGTGGCTCCTTTGATGTGTCCTTCTGTCCATGAGGAGAGAGCCGAGGACAGACTCTCGGTGCTGCCTGGAGATAGCTGGAGTTCCTCACCTCCTTCAATCCTTTGCTCAAATGCTACTCTCTTAGTGAAACTTCCCCAAGCACTGACTCAAAACAGCAAATCTCTCAAAAAAAAAAAAGGACCAAGTCACAGCTGAGCCTCCACTGGGTTCTGAGAAGCTGCAAAGCACAGGAGGAGACTGTCCACTTTTCCCCAAGGAGTGGTTGGTGGATTCAAACCGCCTGCCTTTGGGTTGGCAGCACAACTCCTTACCCGCTCGGCCACTCTATTCTACCCCTACTTTGCAGTTCCATCCCCTTCTGTGTCTAAAGTACAAACAAAAAGAAAACACTGCCGAGTTGATTTTGAGCCCTGGACGTCCTATAGGGACAGAGCAGCAGAGCCTCCCTCCAATGGGATTCTGAGGCCAGAAGATAATCGTCACCGGTGCAGGTTGGCACATCTTCCTTCCACGAGGCAGTAAATGAATCCCAACCACCACATCCTTCCGCCAGCAGCTGAGTGATTAACCACTGCACCACCAGAGCGCCCTTCTTTCCCTAAAACCCACTGCCGTCGAAAGTCTATTTTAACTCACAGCAATCCTATAGGACATGGAGACTCTAAGGGTGTAAATCTTTAGGAAAGCAAACTCACAATTTTCTCCTGGTCAGTTGGAACCACTCTGACCATTTTGGTCAGCAGCTGAGAACTTTAACCACTGAGTCACCAAGGCTTAACAGCTCACTGCTGTTAAATCTGTTCTGACTCATAGTTGACTGTCCAATGGGTTTCCAAGACTATAAATAGAAGGAGACTGCCTGTCTGTCTCCCTGGAAGGCCCTGGTGGATTTGAACCGCTGGAAATGCACAGCCTTTGGGCTGGCACCAGCAACTCCCTACACACAACACCCCAGAGTAACCTTTCTCTCATGACTATTTGCTTATTTTGTTCATTTCTTGTCTCCTGCCGAAGTTTTCTCTGGGACGGTAGCAGTTTCTGTCCTGTTTGATGTAAGCACCCCTAAAGCCCAGCACAAAGCTGATGGGTGCTCAATAAACACGTGTCCCCTGTGTTCAACTATTAACCTCAAGGTTGGTAGTTTGAAAGCACTGAGTGGAGTCACAGAGCAATAGACCTAGCGATCCGCTTCATCAAAATGACAGCCAGCAAGACCTTGGGGAGCAGAGCTTCTGCTACGGCACACAGGGTCCCTGAGACTCAGTTCAATTCCACAGCAGTGGTCCGGACTCTTTTAGGGGAAGGGGTGCTGATTATTGAATATTGCCGCGCCGATCCAAACTGCTTCCTTGAATACATATAACCACCATTTTGCTTTTCAATAAACTTGAAATAAAAAATAAGACAAGGGGAGCTCTGGTGGCCTAGTGGCAAGAAGCTGTACTGCAATCCCAGAGGTACACGGTTCAAATCCACCAGATGCTCTGCCGGAGAAGGAGGGACAATTTCCTCCTGTACCAGTCAGATCTGATTTGACAGTACATGCACAAAAAATAATAATAAAAAATTAAAATTTTAGGGAGCTCTGGTGGCCTAGTGGCAAGATGCTGCACTGCAATCCCAGAGGTAAGCAGTTCAAATCCACTAGATGCTCTGCTGGAGAAGGAGGGGGCAATCTCCTCCTGTACCAGTCAGATCTGATTTGACGGTACGCATAAAAATACTACAATAAAGGTAAAACAAAATGAAACAAAAAAAAATTTTAAAAAACATTGACATTAAAAGACCTATGATATTTCCCAGGGTGCTCTTCTGGCCTAGTGGGTAAGGAGTTGCACTGCCAACCCAAAGACAGGCTGTTTGATTGCACCAGCTGCTTCACGGGAGAAAGACGGACAATCTCCTCCGGTGTGATTTACAGCCTCTGAAAATTCACTGGGGGGGGGGTCAGCTGTGAGTTGGTTCTGACTCAATAGCATATAACAACAACAAAAACAACGCTTTCGGGTTCCCTCAAAGAGGAATCTGCAAAGAAAAGACAGTTCAAGGCCAGATGATGCCACAAGTGTTGAAAACTGAGCCAACCAACAGTAACCCAATCTGACTGCCAAGTGTGATGTGGAAGCTGATTTCCAGAACGTTCCCAAGAGGCAAAGGGCGCTGACCAGGGGCCTTGGGCTCCTGTCCCTCCAAGCACCGAGGGACACAATCAATCATCAGTCACTAAGAAAAAGAGGTGCCTGGAAGTGGTGCGCCAGTCACACCCCCCTCGAGGCGTGACTTGCCCTCTCCCTCCTCCATTCAGCAAAGCTGCTGCCCCATGCCACTCTGGACTAACTATCAGGCCTCATTGGGGGGGGGGGGTGGACATCATAACCCCTAATATGCAGAGTCTACAAAGGGAGGGGGGGGGAAAAGCACACCCCACCAACCCGCAGACTCTTCTAAGAACAGGCTGCTTCCCTGGCTGATTCTCTTATGAGCCAGCGACACCATCACTCAGCAGAACAGAGCTACCTTCCCACCACATCCAGACCCAGTGCAGGAAAAAAGCTGAAGCCAGCAGTCTCTCCAAGCCTGTGGTTTTACAAAGAGAGGGTGAAAAAAAACCCCACTCTGTACTTTTGAGCAAAACCAGCTCAAGGAGTATCTTCCATCCTCTTGTGAGCTACTTCTCGGGTCAGTCGGCGCACGAGTGTGGGTGGAAGCTGGCTGGTACCCAGGGATGGGGCTGAGTCAGGAGACGAGTCCAGCAGTTCTCAACTCCCTCCTCCCCTGTGGACCGGTTGGCCACCTGTGAACTGTCAGGTCCCACCCTTTGAGCATCTGATACAGCAGGTCTGGGTTAAGGCTTCACAACGCATAGTTCTAACCAGTTCCCAGGTGGAGAGATGCTGGTCTAACAACCAGATGCTGCGAGCGTCTGACCTATAGAGTCGAGTCTTTCATGTTGGTGTGTAACCTACCAGAACTGCACACAAGTACCTGTACACGCACACACACACAAAACCAAACACAAGGCAAATCTACTTCACCTCATGAAGGCTTCATGGGCCAGAGAGCAGAGCTATTCAATGGAGTCTCCAAGGAGAGTGTCACACCTTTCTCTCAAGGTAAAAGCTTCTGCTGGTGGGTCCAATGAACACCAGAGTGCTTTCACCTCTGAGCCACTAGGGCTCCTTCTGTCCCATCTGCTGGTCCTCAAATAGCCAGACCGGCCTGCATAATCACTCCGGGATGCTCCTGGAGATCAGGCCTGGAGAAAGTGGGTCTCATTCAAGTCTAGCATGAGCCCATCACTGCACGAGGCTCATCTGAGACTTGAAGTCCACAGTGCCGGCATTTCCCTTTTCTGGTCGTGATTGAGAGCAGTCCCACCCTGTTTCACCCTTCACACATTGGTGACCTCCAGCTGCAAGATCTGCCTTCAGCCCAGGGATGCTTTCAAGTTTCCGAACCAGAAGCAAGCAGCAGAATGAGGAAGTCTCGTCTCTCTCACACACACACACACAGAAAGGGAGAGAGAGCGAGAGAGAGAGCAGACCTCTCGAGTACAGCTGCAACATCTTTGATGAGACTTCTCCTGAGCCCAACGACCCCATCATCCCACCCCGGTCAACTCCACCAGCCTCACTCACCGAAGTAGTCAGCCTTCGGGTGGACATCCAGCTCCCGCTCCAGATGCTGGGTGAGGGCTTCTAATTTCAACTCAGCGGCTGAAGGTCCAAGCTCAGAGCCAGGAACAAGGGTCTGGCAGGGCAGCCTCACCTTGGGGGGGCTGGGGCTCTCTGGGAGCACAGGTCCTTGGCCTCCATCAGTAGACCAGCTTGGGGGCCCTTCCTTACAGGATAACTCAGATGGGGTGGGCAAGGCTGGATGGACACGGCTTGTGGGACTGAGTTTGGGACCAGCGCCCTGGTCTGCACAGCCTAGCTTGGGTCCTGGCCTAGAAACCACACCCATCTTCGAGCTGTCCATGCCGGTGGAGGAGGAGGATGGGGTAGAATTGGAAAGATAGCACTTGGGTGCATCCTGGAACCAGGGCTGAGGGTCCACTGTGGACTTGGGCATCACACCCGAAACCTCAGTTCCCATTCCTGAGTTTGTTCTTAGCTGAGCTTCCTGACCTGTACCAGTCAGGGTTGGGGGTGTCGAGAAAGAAGGGGTCCTGGGTAGAGAGGATCCCAAGACAGGCCCGTTCTCCAGGCCTGAGGAAGGAAGGCCAGAGCTCACCCGCTGGGAGGAGAAGGTGGACCAGGGGCCTGCTGGCCTCTCATTACTGCCACCCAGGCCACCATCTTGCCCACCAAGGCCACTGTCAAATGACTTGCTGGAGCTCCTGGGCACCTGGGGCTGGTACAGGTGATGGTCCCCAGAAGGTCTGGGCAGTGATGGACCACTCCCTGGATGGCCAGACCACCCACTTCCCACACCTGACCTGATGTGAGGGGGCACTCCTGACTCATTGTCCCATTTCCCCAAAGAGAGGTTGTCATAATAGTCCCCGTGAGTGAGGCAGGTGGAATCCTCGCAGGTGCCTGGTCGGTGGGAAGCAGGTGACTCAGAATTCTCCAGGTTCTCCCGCGAGCCACCATCCTGACCGCCATATCTCAGGCCACGCGTGTATGGCCTGGCTCTCTGCTCCTGGGGTGGGCACAAGGGCTGCGCAGTTGTGATGCCAGTGGCTGGCCCAGGTGCCACCATGGAGGCAGCGAGAGGAGGCTTGGCAGCACCATCCAGGGCCAGCTTGCTGCCCAGGCGTCCTCCACCATTGGCAGGGCCCAGGCCTCCCCTGGGCAAGGTCTCCTCCTGCAGGAGCTGTTGCTGCTGCTGCAGGTGGATTTTGGCCATTTTGGTGGCAAACACCCTGCGGGTTTCCTCAAACTCGGGGTTGTTGCCTGCACCCTTGTCCACGCGGAAGAGGCCGTCCTTGGAGGCCTCGTACATGTTCAGGTCCTCGATGAATTTGCTGGCCTCCAGGCCCAGGTCGTCGTACTTATCCATTGTGGTCAGGTGCTCCCACTCAACACGGTGCCCGATGTTAGCAGAGGAGGCAGGAGCGAGAGAATGCTGCAAAAGGTCCAGGGTTCAAGTCTGGCCAAGGGCAGATACAGACTTCCACCTGTCCAGAGTGAGGGTCATGGCCCTTTAGGCCTCAAGGCCAGATGGTAGAAGTTTGCTTCCAACTCCTATTTCCCAGTGTGGACACGTGGGGTCGCCTAGTGGCGCGTCGCTGTCCCGCGGCCTGCCGTGCAAAGTTCTCTTTTTCTTTCACAAATCATAAAAAGAAGGGGAAAAGTCACACAGACACAAAAATAATCACATCCTCCTTAAGCAACCCACAACATGGCAGCGAGCGGCCGCTGGGCGGGGGCCGGGAGGGCAGAGGCCGCCGGACCGGCCCGAGCGGCGGAGGCGGAGGCGCGGC